GGCGCCGCATCCCGGAGGCGCGGGCCGGGACCGTCTGGTGCTTCTTCGCCGGTAAAGTGCACTAGGGTATGCGGGCCCGGCTCTATCTGGTTCATCCCTCCAGGCACAACCGGTCCCGGGGCTGGGAGGTCGCGCGGCTGTGGCCCTCATCTCACGCCCAGGCACTGGGACGCGGCGGAGTCTCACCACGGGTTCCAGGTTCACTCCCAGGACTTGGCGCGCTTGGCGCCGCGCTTCTGCCACGCTGCTCTCGACCCACACGTTGCCGACTACGCGGATGCTGGGCGAGGTGGTCAGCGTTGGGGTGGCTGCCCTCCCACTCTCCTCCAGGGTGCGGCCCCCGGAGCTGGGCCCGGGGGCCGTGGGCTTGCGAGGGCTGCTGTCCTCGCGGGACGGCGGCGGCGGGGGCGGCACCTTCCTCTGGCCGGCGGCGACCTTCCGGGCTCCGTGGCGCCTCCTCCTGGCAGCTCGCCGGCGCGTCTGGAGGCGGGCCTCGGGTGGCTGGTGCCAGGGGTCCGGAACCTGGGCCAGGAGGGAGGAGTAACCATAGACGTCCTTGCTGCGCAGGATGCGGGGGGAGAACTGGTGCCTGAGGCTGCAGAGGTAGCTCCAGAGCTCCGCGTCTGAGCTCATGAACTCCGTGCTGCCGGGCACGAATAGCTTGAAAGCGTCGATCAGCGCCTTGCTGCTGTTGGCCAGCGACAGTGGCGACGGTTGCCACCGCGTGTACACCACCTTCTCCTCAGGCGCCTCCAGTGCGGCCCTTACTGCAGCGCTAGAGGCTCCTCCCCAGGTGGCCGGGGCCAGGGCCTCCGGGGGCCTGCGCCGCCGCCTCTTCATGCGGCTCAGGAGGTGAGGCCGCCAGGGGCGGCCCGCGCTTGCCAGATCTCGCCGCCGCTGCCGGGCCCTGATGAATTTCCTACCAGAAACCAAATCAGGCAGCAGGCTGTTGAGAGTTACACAGCAGTTGCTAGGACACCAGGCGCTTTGTGAGGTCACAATGTCTACCTATCCTATCACTGCCGGCTGCCCAAAGCTGCCTTAGGTTGGGCTGTGTTTAAGATTATGCCCTTGGGGCGCCTGGGTGGCGCAGTCGGTTAAGCCTCCGACTTCAGCCAGGTCACGATCTCGCTGTCCGTGAGTTCGAGCCCCGCGTCAGGCTCTGGGCTGATGGCTCGGAGCCTGGAGCCTGTTTCCCTTCTGTGTCTCCCTCTCTCTCTGCCCCTCCCCC